ACAAATTCAGCTTTACAAAATTATAAATTCCAGGGCAATGGAATGCTGATGTTTAAGATGCAAAGATGTTTAATATCATCCTATGAAATTTATCAATTGTTTAATGCTGATTGAAATAAATAAAATTAACTTTGTCTCTAACTAAAGATTTCTGCTCTAGGTGGGAGTTAGACACCTGGCTACTAATGCTCACCTTCTGATTTCACCTCTTTGGAGTAATTTCCCTGTAAGTAAAATTACAATTGGCATTGATCTTTAAGATTTACCCCTACATTTTTATTGTTGTATCGATCTAATTTTACTCTCAGTCACTGATATGGTTAACAAGGAACCACCAAGGAAGGAAAAGTAATCATTAGGTTGTTACAACTGGTGCCCATGATTGCATTTTCTTTGTAACAAGGAGCTATTACACAGCTCATGAATTAAACATTATGCTTTTTATTCAATAGCTCTTCACCATTTACCAGTGAACAATAGACATAAATGATGAAAATCAAGGTGTATGGCCCGCTTAGTCATATAAGCATAGGCAGAAAAGAAACCATGGTTGGCTTTACTGTTACAATAAACTCAATTGTCTAACTTGAGAAATTCATCTTTAAGCCTTGCCATCAACCTCACATATTTGTTGTACCCCTGTATTCATAAATAAAAATATCATCTTATGGAGCTGGCAGTTAAGTATTTATGAGCAAAACAATCAGATATATGCTGAACATGGGGAAAAACATGTATTTTAAAAAATGCTACTTTTTAGTATATCTTTTTGTTTTCATTTGAAAATGGTGTTTGCAAGGAGCAGATAATTTGAAAATGGATGAAATGGAAGACAAAGAAGTGTGAAAAACTGGAAATTTATGTTGAGGTTTCTGGATTAAATGCAAGATATTATAAATTCATTGGAGATATCCTGTAATGATCTGGATCTTAAATGTTTAAATTTACTTTGGGGTGGAAGCTGGACAGGAGGAATCTTTTAGGTACATCTGATCACAATGGTGTAAATGTTTTTTAAATGTAGCAAAAATGATCATTTCAAATGAGTTAGGAAGAAACAACAATAAAAATTAATGCTATCTTGATCAGGTTGGTTTAAATATACTATAAATTAAAACATTAATTCTCAAATTCATTTTAAAGAGTAGTCATGCAAATCTTTTAACATGTTTTTACTCAAATGGTATTTTTTTCAAGGAACAAATTTACACTACGTCCCTCTGCTTGCACTGGATTCCTGCAAGAGACCCATCGAAGTCTCAGCTTTCTCCGTCACCGTGATTCCATCAGTGGTGATGACTGCAGGTATGCCTATGGTTTTGAAATTAAAGTCAGTCATTTAGACAAACTACCTTACGATACACATAGTGTGAGCTTTTGTCATCAATGTGTTCAGCAGAGGCCGCAGAAGGGAGTGACTGACAGTGGGCTCTTAATAAGCTACTGACAGAGCCTAGATAAGAACAGATGAAATCATGAACTAGAACAGTGGCAATGGCATTGAAAAAGAGGGCAGTTACATAAGATTTTTTCAGAGGCATAAGTTCCTTCATGATTCATTAGTGTGGGAGGTAGAGACAGGACTCTGAGTGTTCATGCCTGGCTCGCTGGGGCAATGGTGGTGCTTTTGCCAGATATAGAACAGTGAGAAAAAGATGATGGTTTCAAGGAGAAACTATAAATCCAGAATGAGTTCTGATGTATTGACTCTGAATTAAAGTTATCCTTAAGCTTATTGATCTACCACCAAGGAAAGTTTTTGTGAAGTGTGATACAATGAGACTGGTAGGAAAGAAGATGGTTCAGGTGGTGGACGAAAGGACTATCAAAGAGCATTTAATTACGTGGTAGGCAAACATTTTCCGGTGAAATGTTCCCTCTACCTTGTTTACATTAAATAAAATGTTCTAGTTTGGTAATAGTTGTACTAAACTATTTCTCTGATATCTCTCTTTTTTTCTCTTTCTCTTTTTCAATACACTCAGAGTCTGGAGAACCCAAATATATGTACTTAAAATTTAAGATCATTTGTTTATTTTTAAATTATATTCTATATCAATTTCTATTTATGTCCATTGGTTCTAGTTTTCCACATGGCCTAATTTTAAGAAAAAATACTCATTTTTCTAAAAGTAATAAATCATTTTAAAGAAACAAATTATTAAGGGTAGAGATCCAGCTTGACCTGGCCACAGCCTAGATTTATAACTGCCGTGATTACCCCAGAGCAACCCTGGTCTCTTTTCCCTGCCTAGTTTCCCACACAACATAAATAAACAACATCCATAGAGTAGTACCAGGGCTTTACTATCAGATCTGGCACCATTCATTCTAGATATGTGCCTAACACCCTTGATGTTAGCTGGCGATAAACCTGGTATGTTCTGACTTGCATACAAGTCACTTTTGTGCTGAGCATTATATACACCCCACCATTTGACCCTAATCACAAGGATCCCCTGGTCTTGTTGTTGCCCTTGACCATGATTCTATCAGTGAGTCTTCAGAAATTGCAATCTGAAATTCTAAATCTATCCAAGTCTTTCTTTGGTCTCAGGACACTTTTGGCTGGTTCTTGTACACCATATTTTCCCGGGAGCACTAAGGAACCTGCAGCAGATTCACTCATAAGATACAATAAAGTAGCATGAATGAAGGTTAGGAAACAGCTATGTCATATTTAGGCAATATTCCTGTCCAGTCTCAATGGAGGTGACTTAAAGGAGATATTTTACTACAAGTCTGTAAGAAAGCCACATTATAGTAAGGGCTGAATTTCAAAAGAATTGTAATTTGAACTTCTGATAGTTTCCCAGAAAAGTTCATTGAAACAAAATCTTGTAGATATTAACTACTTATGGGGTTTTGCTCCAAAGATAAGAATTTCATAAAAAATAATCAAGATATCAAACTAGAACTTCCAATCAGTACAAAATCAGTTGTGACAAAAATCAGGCTGCCTCTCTGTTATTGATACTAGCTTTCAGTTCAGCCCCCTCTCTTCACAGAGGGAGCTAGAAAAATGCAGCACACAAAACACAAAGCACCAAGACCAAATGTGAAGCCTAACAACTAGAAGAAAATTCAAAAGGAGTTGTTAAATTCTATTAATTGATGCTACTCAAATCATACCTCGTATTTGTTCAAAAAATTTTTGCAGTGATTTTCTTGGAAGGATTAATAGCCTTGTAGGACTTTGGTAGTCTGCTTTTCTATGCTTAAAGTAAGTGGAAGATTTTCTCCTGGAAGTATCTCTTAGTAGTCAGTAAATGCCTTAAATTATTCTCCATATGAACATTAAAGCAGGAATAAAATTAGGCCGTTTTATGTAAAATTCAACCCTTCCACTACAGCCACTTGGTCTTAATCCAATTCTGGAGTCAGAATGACTACACAAAAAAATCTACTAGTCATGAGTTTGTGTGTTCTGTTTTAGGGGACAGGAATAATTATGAAATATTAATATACAGCAGAATGTATTGCCCAATTCCTCATTCTGGAAGCATAAAAAACTGGAGATTATTTTTACATGTGTTCTTCTTTCATGGATGGAATACCTTAGTTGTAAAGCAAACCTGAATTTTTCACCCTGAAGCACGTGAAAGATTGTTCTGTACTTTATGGTCAGAACTTCTTGTATATAAGGAAACAGAAGGCCACTTTTCCCAAATATACTCAAACATTGCTTTGACCTTTTTAGCTAAATCAGAAAGCCTTTGGAAGAAATTGTGAATACTAAAAACAATAATAGAGCCAGATAACTTCATGACAGAGAATGATGTTTTTGGAGGCAGAATCTTAAGTTGACATCTTTGTGTAGGTCCTTAATTTACTTCTCTCTGTAGAATACACCAAAGCCTATTCCAACATTATGCAGAACAAAAATATGTCCCATAAATTCTAGAAAAAAATAAGAAATGTTTGAATAAATCAACAGAAATCTGCTTGGCTCATGGAAACCAAGTGACAAATCCTAATAGATAATAAGCTTAGAACATAATGTTTACATTTTAAATTGGCACATGCTTAAACTTACATACTTTTTAAAGGATTAATTGGAGTAATCTGCATGTAGTATATGCTCAACATTGGAAAGAGTTCAAACTAGATATACGTGAGATAGATCTGGTCTGGAAATATGTCTAACTTTTCCTTCATGAGATTTTAATTAAATTAAATAGTACTACTAATATAATAAGAAATCACATGATTTCAAATCAAATAATGACTTTTAGCTTCATTTGAAAAATATAAAGTCTGGAATACATTGTACCTCAAACACATGGGATAATTATAACCAATGTTAGTGTTAGTAAGAGCTGCCACTAACTGAGTGCTCATTATGTGGCAGGTATCATTCTAAGAATTTTACATTTTTTATGTATAAACAGAATCCTTATGAGCAGTTCCTTTTATCTATTTTGAGTATTTGTAAAAGCAGATCCCCTCAGAGATTTAATAAGTTTATCCAGTATCTATAGCTGAACCCTAACTGATAAAGATTTGAACCCAAATCTGTCCAATACCCAAATCATAGTCTTATCCACTAATAGAAACAACTTGAAATAATAAGCTATTGAAAGAAGAATGAGTCTATATCCACAACAGTCCCTTTTCTGCATTTGTAAAATGTACATTATCTCTGTGTGATTATGATAAATGCTATTTCAACATATTAGAAAAATATTCCCTAAAAGAAACAATAAATTTGCATCCAATAAATGTTTTATTCTTAAAAATAATTGCTATTAATTTTTGTTTAAAAATTAACAGATAATTTACTAATCCAATTTGAATCCAATTTGTTTCAAATTGATGGAATACATTCATATTTATCTATTCTACTAGAGTACCGATTGTAATTTTCTCTAGGAAATTAAAACACTTCTTTATTTTTTTAATATCATTTGTAGACAAGCATTGAAAAGTCTTCCAAATCATAAATAAGAGAACTTAAAGTCTGAGAGGGTCACTTAAAATTCATTTCAAGTGCATCTTACCAGAAGTTGTCTTGACTACTTCAGTAGTATTTCTCAGTCCAACAAATGAAAATTGGTAAAGCCTCCAAGATCTTGTGTCACCCACTTCAACTGAACTACGCTTCCATTGGTAGATAATTTCTTCACGTGGATAGCCATCTACAATGGATAGGAAAACTCACATTACAAATGCTAATTCATGAATATATGTACCAGCCACCTCCTAGGAATGAGACACTGATAACTAATAAGAGTGTCATAGTTAGATGAACATCCTAGACTAAGAGTTGTTACAGTAGTCAAGATGAATATAATACCATTGTGTGTTAATCTAGATCAAAATTCAAAAACCAGAAGGTCAAATTTACCCTGGCATAATAGATTAAATTACACAGAAGGCATACTGTACATAAATTCCCATATGCTATCCATATTCTACATCATCTTAGGAAATTTATAAAAAGTGACCAGTATAAACTAACAAGTAAGTAATATATTGTTTTATAGTGAAGGGTAGTCACAGGGAAGATTTTGAGACTCATGTTCAAGCAAAAAATAAAGAAAAATAGTAGACTCAAGTCCTCTCCAGAGTGAAAAATAGTTGGGAAAAATTTTAAATCTCTCTATTATTATCTCTCCATTTGTTTAGGCTAATTTAATGTGTACATATACACAAAGCAGTAAGTAGGCATGCTAAGGGGAAGACACTAATTATCCTAATACCAAGACAACAAAAAGTCTTCATGAAAAAGGGCTTACAGTGAAAGGTGGGATAATATAATGATTATAAGGACAATTTTCCAAGTCAAAATTCCCTGGGAAAATTTCTTAATTTTTTTCTAACTTGTTTCTGTTTGAGCATGATACTTAGTGGGCAGACTATATTTCTTGAATGGAAAACATTATTAAACTAAATGTAGAATAAACTTTCTCAAATACTAATAAATGAAAGAAACCTAAAAATCACCTCAACTATTCATGCATTGATAATGCTATATAAAGATAACCTTTCATTGTCAAGTATGATTCAATGCTTGTAGTAAAATCTACTATATTTATTCATTTCTTTTTTAAAATTTTATTTTCTATCTAACTCTTTATTGTGTTCAGATAAGTCAGGACAAAAAAAATAATCCTTAGAGAATTGTTGGGGATGTTTGTGGTGGAATGGATTGAAAACTGAGGAAAAGAACAATTATATTAGTGAATTTTCTGTGGGGAATGATCTGGTGACTGATTTTTCTGTAGTGAAAGTAATATTATATTTTATTTAAGCTCAGAGTAAGTCATCTGGAAACTGAAGGCACAGAAATTACCAGTTCTTGGGTTTTAGATTACTCAGGGAGAAGTAGTCCAATTTAGAAAATTAAAAGATAAAAAGGTTAATCTCTTTAAAGCTCATGGAAGTATTATATTTATAATTAAATGTGCTCTATTTGTGAATGAAGCAACATGAAAAATGATTTATAATGAGAACTTTTATAAATATATCTAATGTATATGTATATTTTTCCTCTGATTTCCACTGGAATTGATGTAATGATGAATAAGTAATTGCTCCTCTGGTCATTCATTTTTATTTTTATTTATAGCATTGATTTAGTTGTTACTAAGACCCTTCCTAAATATCTGGTTGGAAAATTGTTTATAAACACACACTTCAAAGTATCAGTTTTTTATTTTGCCTAATATGCAAAATTGGCGGAGTGTAAGAAGGAGGAGATGAACAATCTAACAGAGGTTCTAAACAAATATTAAAGTGAACATTTTGGGGAACTGAGACTTGTTTGCTTGGGTTCTGACATCTGTGAAGATGATTAAAATTTAACCTGGGTTAGAATTATAATGGACCTTCTCTATATATTGTATTACCTATTGACAATAGTTATTAATAAGAAAATATTCAACATCACTGGTCTTTCAAGAGATGCAGATGAAAACAACACTGAGATTCCATCTCACCCCAGGAAGAATGGCTGCTATCAAGAAATCAACCAATAACAAATGCTGGCAGGGATGTGGGGAGAAAGGAACCCTTCTCTATTGTTGGTGGGAATGCAGACTGTTGCAACCACTGTGGAAATCAATATGGAGATACCTCAAAAAACTAGGATTAGAGGTCCCATTTGACCCAGCTATTCCCCCGCTGGGTATCTTCCCCAAAGAATTTAAAGAATCATACCACAGTGATATATGCGCACTCATGTTTATAGCGGCACAGTTTGTAATAGCTAAAGCTTAGAAACAGCCCAAATGCCCATCAACTGGAGACTGGATAAAGAAGATGTGGTGTTTCTATAAAATGGAGTACTACTCAGCCATAAAGAAAGAGAAACTAGAGACATTTATAGCTAAATGGATGCACATTGAGGCCATGCTCTTAAGTGAAATAAATAGGACACACTTGTAAATACCAAATAGTTTCTCTCGTATGAAAAACTAAAAGTGTAAATAAGGTTCAAATGGTATAATTGATAATGTTAAATAGGAAGAAAAGTTCTAAAGGAGTAGGGTAAGTGGGAAGGGTAGGGGAAAGGAAAGAAGGGAAAAGAAAAATATGAGAAAAGGAAAAAATGGAAACAAAGTCTCTGTAAATAGGGAGAAGTGGAGGGGGTGAAGGGAGGGCAGGGAATGGGGAAAAAATAAGAACCAAGATAGGTCATGTACAGGTACAAGATCCCAATGATGAATGTAACTGTATTTTATATCAAAAATATACCAATTAACTTAATGAAAACATTTTAAAAAGGTGTCATGATTTTCTTGAATCTAACTGTGTCAATATATCAAGAATTTCACATATATGATGACAACAAAACATTATTTTTATGTGGCAGTTGTTCATTAGCAACACTCTTCTACTGGATCCACTGAAGGAATGAGGTAGAGGATGCATTATCAACCATTGTACCCTTCCTACTGAGTCCTGCTCTGGCAAAACAACCCATCTTAACAAAGGGTTCCAAGGACCATTGCCAGTTTGTTAAAAGTTTGTAATTCAGTGAAGTCTATTTGTAATTCCTAATAAAACAGATCCATTTTCTTAATTGGAACAAGTAGGTGTTTTGAAAAAAAAGAGATTGCCAAAATATTCAAAGTCAATAACATAGATCAGGGCCATCTTGCATTTGTCTGCAAATTTTCCAATTAATTGTAATTACAATCAAAGACTACCTGTTGAGAGGCAATACAAAATGCAAAACGAATATTACTTACAACTGGAGAACTCCAGGGGGCACGAGTGTTCGTCCATTGGGAAGTTGTGCAACTGCAATTGACACTCAGCATCAATTGTCAACCTAAGTAGACAGGTATTAAAAATAAATAGGAAGGCTGTAAGTGTAATTTTTAAATGTACATTCACAGAATTTCTAGAGTATAATTTCACATTTTGGTGTATAACACAAAGTGGTGCTCACTGAAGAAATTCATCATATTAAATAAAAATGAATTAAAACTAAATGGAAGCTAGGCATAGTAGTACAGGAAACGCCCCCTGCCCCAGCACTTGGAAGGATGAGGCAGGAGGATTGCAGTGAGTTTGAGGTCATCTTGGGGTGAACAGTGAGTCTAAGGCCAGTCTGGAATATAAGGAGAGCCTGTTGTGGGGGGAATAAAAGCCTAAATGAAGTCTGTTCATTTTTCCATACCAAACAATAGTATCTCATTCATTTCATTTCCATTTATTCAAAATCTGTATTACTTAAATTTTGTTCGGTGTTTTGGAAAATTAATTACACGATAAGATTACTCAGTGAATATATTTAACTTAACAAACTGTTAAGAATTTAAGCTTATTTATTGTTTGTAAGTAAACGAATGCTGACAATTCTCAGATCTTATCTTCTAATTAAATCAGGACTTTCTGACTGTAAGAATTTGTTATTTGCTGGCTTTATGTTTCTACAAGTTTAAAAATGTATATGTTGCACAGTAGAGTTTTATACACTTTCACAATTGAATACTCTGAAATCATGAAATAGTGCCTTTCAGGGTAAAGAGCCGTAGCAAACAAGAAATGTATATACAGTCACAGATATTTAGAAAAAGGTTTGCCAGTGAGTCTCAGTTTATTTCATGGTCAGTTTATTAAATAAAGTTTATGTATATTTTGAGTTTGAAGTCCTGAGCTAGGATTTTTAGGAGGGAAAATAAAGGAGTCCAAATGTTTTGATCACCTCTGGAGAAGTGCAGATATAATCCCAAATTGTGGTAATGGGTTAAAAAATTTTTAATTTTTATATTATTAGCTGTATTTCCTTGCAATATACAGACAGTACTATTCAAGTTATGAAAATATTTTATAAAGTTTAATTTTTAAAGATTCTTCAATTAACATGACTTTTAATTGAGGAGATTTTACTGTTCTGTAGTATAATAGAATGATAACTGGTCTTGGAATATATCCTTAATTGACTATGTAGATGTGGGGAAATTGAATTATTTCCTCATTTAGTAACTGTTATTATGACTTTATTGTACTTAAACTTCCTCAAAGTCACATAACTATTGCCACAGTTGAAAGGTGGACCTAAGTTTGTTTCCAAAGTTAGAAGTTTTAATCATTGTCAGTCCGTAATTACAAGCTCTTAAAAAATAAAGATTAGTTTATTTATAAATGAAATAAAAATTGAATTTGACATTTACTAGTATTACCTCTTCATATTAGACAGGAATTATTAAAATTGGAAGTAATACAGATAGATTGCATATACAAACATAGAGGCATACATGCATGAACACACACACATGCACAGAGCTCACTATAGGTGAGCAACCTGAGTAAAATCTCTCTATATAAACTGATAATGGTTCAAGTCTTAACTGAATCATATGAGTGACATTTTTAGGTGGTTTCCATAATTAAATATTGTATTGATTCCTTAAATTAATAGAAGTAAAAAATGACTACAATTTTATGAGAATAATGAAAAAGCTTGAGTTAAGGTGACTGACTTCATATTTCAAAAGCTAGACTGAGATATGCTTTATCAGATAGACTTTGATTTCCACTAGTTTCTCATTTTAGTCATTACCTTATCTCTAATTCAATAAAATGCTTGATGAACACAAAATAGATGCAATGACTTTCTTTTGTGATTGTTGGCCATTTTTCCTAATAGCTAATGTAATTCTGATAAAGGACTTGGAGACATCATCAATGCTGTATTTCATGTTGAGCATTCTATAAGGTATAGAGTACATGCCACATGTATATATAGTATGAATAATTTGCAAGCTAGAAGTTCTAGGATGCTAAGATGTAGAAGAATCATATGCATTTTTTACTAAAATATAGATAATTTTAATATCTACTACTTACTATGTATCAGGCTTTATGTTAAGCATTTTATATATTACCCCATTTCATCTTTGTAACAATCCTGTAAGGTAAGAATGATTATCTATGTTTTATAGAAATTAAACAATGCACGGTAAATGAGTTTGCTCAGTTGTAGTGGCAGCAGAGGAGGAGATGCACTGTGGCATGATGATGCCGTCTTTCCTAAAAATTTATATCAGCTCTCACTTCATTCATCTAAACAAAACATGTAATCAAGTAAAAGCGTCATCCTTACTATGCACGCAAAGCTGTGAGATGTCTTCTACAACCAGGAACCTAGCTTATTTCTTCCCTTTACTCCCTGTCAAAGAAATTCTGGAAAGTTGCCCTACTTCATACAGATAGTAAGATAGAGAGCAAAGAACCATATCCAGATCAGTCTGATTCCTAAGCATATTTACTTACCTAGTATGTTATTTAATAATATACTGTCACCAATGGGAAACTTCAATGAAAAAGTATTTTACATGCATGTGAATACGAAGTGGGCTAAAATAATGCCATAAAATAATTTAAATAGAGAACTTTTCCAGTGTTACCTAATATTTAAATTCAGAGGATATAGTGCCCACCAACTTTTCCCAAAAGATGATTATTCACCAAATAGACAATAAATTAATTCACAGCTTATTAATGTCAATAAATTATTAATGTCAGTAAATGTCAATAAATTAATTCACACCTTATTAATGTCATGGGGATCAGGGTGCCTGGAGATGGGAGGTAATAAACGCTGGGTCTCTCTCATTGTGTGGAGACTTTTACCTCAAAGGTTCTCCTTTAGTAATGATTTCCTTAGGAATGAAACATTTCCACGTATGGTGGTCCAGACTGTTTTAGCTTCCATAGTCTTATGTAACAGGACACATACCCAAAAGCCATGATTGGCACAAAGGTCAGGTAATTTCACAAAGGAGAGGAAAATTTCATGTCAGTTGTGAGACAACAACCTTTTCACTTCACATTAGTCATAGAAAATAAGTTCTACCTGTGTTTATGGGCTGTCCGCTTTGAAGAAGCTTACTGATAATACAAAGAACTAACTTTTTTTATGTCACATGCTATTTTAATCAAACATGCTGAACCTGATATCAGTTTGGAATATTTTCCTCTTTTTTTAAAAAAGGGAGTATGGTTTACTTTTTGTTCTATTTATAGCAATTACTCTTTTATTTTTCCAAAGGAATACCTTAAAGTGTAGAGCACTCTGCCATCATTCCAAATTCTCAGCATCCTATTGGGAGTGGTTATCCAATGCGCATCTGCCTTTTTGGAGTTTCTGAAGAAAGTGTCTGGAATCCAGATTTTCCCAACCATATTACTATTCAATCGGAGGACTTTAATGGTGCTGTTAAATTTCAAACGTCTGTCATACCATGTTTGGGCAAAAAATATATCAATTGTATATTCCTGTTTTAAAGAAAAAGATAAAACAGAACATTTTAAATACAACATGAATATATTGCAGAATATTTGAATATCTCATTCTCATGCAATTGTCAGTATGAACCAAAGCTACTTTGGCTTTGAATAATCCAAAAGAAATACCTTAGTTAATAAGGCTATTGCTTCACTAAATTTGTAGAACAGCTTGATAGTTTTATGAAAAATTAAATTTGTTTCAATGAATTCTGACAAAGGATCATAGCTCAGACATAATCCTTTGCTTTCCGTATCTATAGAACACTTTGTAATAATATTTTGAACCAGTATTTCTTTCACTATGGAGAGCTGTCCTGTGTATTATAGAATGTTTAGCTGCATCCTTGGATTCTATATCCTAAATGTCAGTAGGAAACCCTCCACCCTACCACCATTCCTGCCAATTTGCAAAACTAAAATTACTTTGGACACTACCAAAAATATCCTAGGTACAGAATTTGCTATGTTCAGAATCACTGCTGTAGAGTGAATCAAGGACTACAATACTCAAAAGAAAAAAAAATTAAGCTCCAGGAGTGGAGGTTCAGTGGCTTTATAATAAAATGAAGATACTAAGGAATCTACAGGTTAGATAACATGAAGCTAGAAAAGAGCTTCACATCAAATCCTTTATACCAAACCTGGAAAATAGCATGCAAGCAATAAAAAAGCTCATTATTTTCTTACTATTTATTATTGCTGCTTTTCTTCCCTCTAAACAAGATGTAGTAAGCCAAGTAAAAATAATTTTTCATACCACACACATCTCTACCAGAAAATATATTCTTAAATAGTATGATGACAAAAGACTATAATGGTTCCTCTCAAGTATATATCACTAAACTAAAGAGTGGTTGATTTCAGGCAAAGCAAAGCAAATATAGTGTGAAATTCACACCATTGAAGAGTGGTCAGAACCCTGGAGTTCTAGTGTGACTGTCATATTCACAGATAGCCTTTGAAGAAAACAGCTTGAGTCTCTGGCTTCTTTTTTCTCATCTTTACAAATGAAGAATTAACACAAATACAGGCTGAGGTTCCCTCCAGCTCTAAAACTAAGCCTTTTTGCTTCTCCACTTCATCATTATCATTATTATCATCCTAATTGTTAATCAACAGGCTGGCATCATTTTATTCTGGTTGTTATTATTAATCAAGTACTTATTTATGTCAGTTCTCTGGCTAAACACTTCATGTGTCATCTCATTTAATAAATCACTTTATGTGAACAATAAAAGCAAAGAGTAAACTATTATAATAAACAACTGGTTCAAGGGCTTTATATTGTTACGATTCCCAATAACTTGCTCTAAGTACATCTTGTATTATTTTATAGCTTGATTTTAATCATGTCTATAAATGAGAAAATTAATATAAAAGCTGGCGAGGAGAAGTTCATCCACATTTCCTAGCCTAGTTCCCTACACACCATTTTATGTTGAAAAATATGAAGAACCATGGACATGCTTGATTTGGCCAAGAATATGCAGACTGCTGGATCTGCTTGCTTATCTCATCTGCAACGTTATATTCTGTGTCTGTAGCACCTGGTGCAGTCTCATTGGAATTGATTGCACCTCTATGGTGGGAAGCCAGCCCTGTTCACTAGTTAGTTCCCCATTTACAATCTGTGAATAATGAGAAGGAAACCTATTCTATCAAACCCTTTATCACCTAATTGGTGATGTGCCAGGAAGTAAAATAAGTAAGTTTGGATAATTTAGAAAAAATCCCCACAAAACAAACAAAATTAAAATATTTGAGGATTAAATCCAGTGTCTCACAAACACTGATGCTGAGGTAGTTCTGGGGTCTCCTATTCTTAAAGCAAAAATGTTCTATATTTAAACTAACAACCTATAAAAATAAAGTTAGACTGATACCTACAAGTTCTCCTTAAGTATTTATAGTTCATATTAGAATACGAAAGATTCTGAGGATGTTAATGAGAAAGATACAAAAGTTAGAATTAATAGTTAATGGTTAATTAACTATTTTCATGGACTATACAGGTGGCGGTATTTTTATTACCATAACTGAGAAAAATTAAAGCTTTTATCTCTCACTGTTTTAATGAAGTATCTATATTGCTAGCTTGATAAACACTACTTTTAAATTATAGCATCACCATATTATGTCACAGTCTTACATTATATCATGTAACACACAATACAAGTATTTATGTTACATCACACTGATTCTATTCTACTCTTCCCTACTCTCTTTTACTCTATTATATTATGGACTGGCTCCAGTTTCTCATTTCAGATTTCAGAGCAAACTGTTATATAGGAGCAAAGTTACCTTTATTATTACAAATGATACACTATTTTCTTTGAGAAATATTTCTCATTTGAAGAAAATGATGCCACCTCACACCATAAATATTTTTAAAATTAGTGTAGTATTATACTTTATTTTGTTATGGTTAGCACTGACAAGTACATAATCATTGTTACATTTCAATAATAGCATATTTACACAACTTAATTTTACATGTGATCACATTTAATCCTTTTTTTAACATTTTTTTACATGTAATTCTTGAAGCAAAAAAGTTCAAACTTTAATAATTTTTAAATTACAAGAGAACAAATGGATCTGAAAATTGCCTTTCTATTCCAAAATCTTGAACCTAATTTTTTATCATGTTTCTTATTATTCCTATGTTTATAAAATAGAAATTTTATTTGAAACTCACCATATTGATAGCGTTCACTGGACCAATGCTATTCACATACATGTCTGTGTGAATTAATGTTGGTTTCACTGTAAAGAAAATCATAAATATATGTGCATGTGGAGAGACACAAAATTGTATTCTCTTAGTCTATATTTTCTAGAACAGCCTTATTGAGCTACATTAGTATTGATTTATTTATATCTAGTTTGGCACTAGTTACTAATTAACTACATTTGAGTAACAATTTTGTTTTCAAAGAAGTATCTCTCTCTTTTTTTTTTTTGTACCGGGAATTGAACTTGGAACCTTGCATGGCAGCACCACTGAGCTAAATTCCTGGCCTGGAAGTATCTCCTTTTAAGAATATGATGTTAATAAGAAGCATAGTAGCATCTTGAAACTGATTATTTTTTAAAAACTATATAAAATGAAGAAATTAAAAGACACTATTCTCAATTTTTGTTCATCTTTCTCTCATATCTTAAATTTCACCATTTTTCCTTCAGGACCTGGAATCTATTTGCATATTTTAACCTGACTTGACTCAAATAGAGAAAACAAAATTACTTAAGTAGAATGAATTGTTTCGAAACATTGATCCCTACTGATTTTCATGACCACTTTATCCTCAGCATTTATCCAGCACAAAATCCATCTTCCTCAATGACTTTTTAGAGGATATAGCTACACAGATAATATGAGAAAACCATATGGAAGCCCATTATACACCTATTTATCAGGCAGGACTATTATTAAAAATCTGTAGTACAACATTCATGAACAAATGCATGTACTCCATTTTCATTTGACAATTAATGAACAAAGATTCATCACATTTTTCTGGATCTAAATTCAACAATTACATTTTCCTCATCTTTATTAATTTCCCTTGAAAGCAGTATGCCTAAACTGTCCGTGATAGATGGGATCCTTCATGAATACCAACATTTACACCCATACTTTTACCTCAGGCTGTTTCTCTGCTTCTAGGTATTGTGCTTGACCAGACTTGCTTTGGTGCATAATATATAGACGAGTTAGTGTGTCAATCTTAAAACTAGGCATTAAGTTTTAGGAGTTTCTATTTTCCACTGTGTTACCTTCTGTTGTTGTGAAGGATCCTCTTAGCTGTTGTGCTGGTTCCAGCAGAAGAATGAGAGCTACTGAGCAGCCCCAGTTTTACTCACCCCTAGTGAAGTGCTAAGTAAATGTGTTGTGTGCTACTGAGATTTTTGTGATCGTTTATTATGCAGCAATAAATAACCAATATTGCCTCTCTATTTTCTTTTTTGATTTTTGAAGTTGTTTCATAAAACATTATCATTTATTCCTCTTGCCTTGTCTGGAATATCTAAGAAAATTTTAATTTTTAACTTTCATGCTTCACTCGAAAATTATATTTTTTTCATGTTGAACTTAGCAACACTAATACTACCTCCAAACTGGAATGCTACTTATATACACTTCATTTATGTTATAACATATAATAGAAATATAATTTAAATGTTCTCCCTATAGAAATATGGTAATATTTTCTTCTAACAAGGTTAATAAAATAGACACATGTATGTGCTCCACTCTACAGCACAGCACAAATGCTTTAGCATACCTCCTATATCAGGTCGAAGTTTATTGTCATATCCTTCAAGCAAGTTGTTTAAGATGACAGTGACATCGCCCTCGGGAACTTTTGGAGTCAAGACCCATGTTTTGTTAGAAGCATAATCTTCATAGTCATCATCAGACTTTTGGCTAGTGAAGCTAAAAAACAAAAATATTGGCCAAGAAACACACAGATTACATCAAGTTCTCTTTTACCACAACACACTGGTGGAAAAGGAAAGATTAAGTATGATTACAGGAACATATAAAACAGTAAAAAATTCCACCTGATGATTAATGTAACTAATTAAATTGTGCAGATGGAGATTAAAATATATTAATACATTACTGCCAATTTTCAAGAGTGTTCAGCCTTCCCATCTATAAATATACTATGAGTTACTATTTATTTTTGGCTTTTTCATATTTTATGTTCTTTGTACCCACTTGCCCAGCCTCATGAAGGACTTATAAAATAGTTTTTGTGAACACACTGCTTCAGTGATCAGAAAGTAGTCTAAGAATTGAGGGATGATGTCTTCTTATTCTTGGAGAAGTTAACTTGCCTCCCCTATTAATGAAAGTAAGAGAGTGATAATTAGATTCATTCTCACAAACAGCCAGCCTTGCCTCTCACCCCTCAATTGAACTACTGAGGAGAACTCAGTCTTGCTGTCTTTTCTTCCCCCGGGCTATGTGTCTTTGTGTTAACCCCTTTACTTGAACAGGAGACAAGAGTGGTTCATTTATCTTTCATTGTTAAGATCCTGATACTATGGAGACAAATGTAGTTGTAGATGTTAAGCCACACTTTATTAGAGCGAAGGTTCCTAAGCTACCATTTCATGTAAATGTTGATATACTCCTATTGTGTAAATGAAATTACTTGTTTTGACTGATCAAAGACTCACATAATGTTCTAGAATTCAGTCTCATATGCCCAAACCTGCTAGAAGTCCCCCATCCAACACTTTGGATGGAAGGTAATGAAGGGCAAATATGGATGGTGAATGGAATTCTGAAGAGCTTACTTCTTCTCATGCCCCCAGTTCTGACATCCAGCTTCTCCCCCATACAAGATGATTATATTTTCCTGATCTAGGGACAATGAAAATTCTTGCAAAAGCTTCCATTTAAATTTTTTTTATCAGTAGCCAGTTAATCTGTGGTTTAGGATATCATTTTTTAGAAATATGAACTTAAAATATGTTTCCTATCCCATCATGAACTTCAGTCTATTTTCTAAGTATATGGCATATATCCTCAAATAAAATTTAACCTTCCTTCAGTCATAGTCATTGAAATATTTGGACACACCTAGTTTAACTATATTATATATATACATACATGCACATATCCATATATATGCAGCTTGGATATGTACATTTGCACATATATATGTGTATGTGTGTAACTATTACAGAAGAACAGTGATTAAATATGTAATGTGATTTGATAATATGGATGGAAAATGAAGTTTTAAGAATAATAACTGGTGTGGATCAATCAGTAAGCAAGCATAATAGCCTCCACTTCTGTTATTTTTTGTTTTAGGAAGCACTCTGAGAATATGTGTATAAAAAATCCTAACATAGCTGGTGTCTTACATAATGCATTTCAGCAAGCATAGGCACTTTAAACAAACCCTAATTTCATAGAGTCTGTAGTGAATAGGACAGGCTGGACAGTGCTTCAATCTGCTCTCAAAGAGAAACACCTCATTTCAGGAATAGGCACCAGTTCTGTCTAGAAGAGTCCCTCTAGGGCCTCAATTCATCTTTCATCCAGAGCATTACTCATTACTAAGCTCTGCCTAGTAGAGCTTTAATCCTATGACCCAAATCTTACTAGTTTAAGGGAGAAAAAGCTATATGGCAAAGAGATTTTCAAATTCTCTAATAGAGGAAAAGAATATGGCTGCCCAAACAGATGTCATCAGTGATGCAAAAGTACATTTTCAACTCTCTCTCTCTCTCTCTCTCTCTCTCTCTCTCTCTCTCTCTCATATCTCTCAGATGCATGTACCCAATCGAGTTTTCCTTAATGGGAGGGATTATATATTAGACTGTTTGATTTGCTTGTTTTTAGGGCCTCCTATATTAACAAAAAAATAATCCAAGCATGATAGTGCTGTTTTACTGTTTTTACTTGTATCTGGCCAATGAAGGGGAAAAGCACATTGAATAAAATGTTAAGGGATAAAAACTACTTGCTTAGAATGAAAGCTTTATTCCAGAATTGCACCAGTATATTTCAGAATCAGTACTTATTGGATGCTGAAACAATAGTCTAATTGATTAGTTCAAATAAACATATTGGTGAGAGGGTTTCTTTTCACATTTAAGAAAGTATACTTAGTCATAGGGAGGCAAAATAGAAGAAATTAAGAGGATACACTTGTTTTATGGTGTTAAACACATTACTTTACTGTGCTAAGCCTCAAAATTCTCATGTTAAAAGTAGAATTAATACTACTACTCATATGACATTTTTATAAAATATGAAGATAATTCTTATTAAGTGCTTAGCAAAAACCTGACACGTAGCCCTGGAAATAAACCCATTATAATCATTGCTATGAAGTGACCACTATTAGATTTATTGCAACAGCTCTAACCATGTAACTAAAACTTGAATCTATAGGTGTTGCTTCATGGATTTTTATCTAATATGGGCTCTGAAGAACTAAAAGCAGTTTTCCAAGAAGAAAAATAATGAGCCCTTACTACTATTATAAATGAAATATTTCTTCCTGCAGCTCTCCCAGCTGAGGTCTAAATTAAAGGGGCTGATGCATAATCTGGGATTGCTTCCAGATTTTTCTTGTAAAAAAAGATATTCAAGATTGGCTGTTTCTTGCTGTGGGATTCTTTGGAGGTAAAATCTCTGTACCCATAGGTAGGCTATTTAGGAACAATAAAGTCTGACCATTAGGTTTTCTGTGCACCTGTGAACTCCAGGAGAAAGACTGGGCAGAAATAGACTGGCAATGACTCCAGAAAATTGATTTAGCTTTTGAAAGGGCTTGAAACTTGAACTTCTGACTAAAGACACCTAGCTGAATGCAGCAGCTAGATGCAGCAGCCAGAGGTTATTACTCCTCCTGGTGCCTTTTAGTTTTAAAAAAAGAAAAAGAAAAGAAAAGTTTTAGAGGGAGAAAAGTGAAATTGACATTAATGTTTAATCATTCTTAAAGAGCATTTCTGTCATTGAGTAATAATACCTGAGAGACAGTGAAGGTCATGTGGCTTTCATTTCTTGAAAGATTCAAAACTTTGTAACAAAGCCATTTGTCTAGGAGCTTAGACCAGTAGCATCAACATTTTCAGAAATGCAGAATATTGAGACCCACTAGATTCCCAAATTGGAATCTTTTTGGAACAAGTTCTCCAGAGAGTCATACAAATATTAAAATTTGAGAATATCAGCCCTATAGTGGTTAGATTGGTGAGACTTTATCTCAGCTGTGCTTTTTCTCTTGTGTGTGTGTAAATGTGCAGGCTAATAGGCTTTTTAAAACTACGGATTCCTTGGTTTCCGCTTTAGCTCTTAAAGCAAATCTCAGTGTTGTAAGTTAAATTATTCACTTAGATTTTCATGTTTACAGTTTTATGCATGATTATAATTTAGGCATTATAATAAATATAAACTCACCTTCAAATCAATAAAATTGATTTTCTTTGGGAATAAAAGAAGCATGTGAAACAAAATATATTGGATAGACATTGTTCGCTAAGAATTTGCTTACAATTACATAGAAGAGTCTCAGTATCTTAATTTGATACCTAATTTGGTGTTTGCCAAGGTGATGATAAATTATGTATATTACAGAATTTTTCATTTTCATCTAGGTATTTTATATTCCCAAAGATTTAATAAAGCTCTATGTTTATGTCTCATTGTTACACTCTACCATGATAATAAAACAGCAAATGAGAAACAAGAACACTTTTTTTTTTCTTTGATGTATCTAAGTACACTAATACAAAAAGCATCATAATATCAATACAGGTTGTGGCATGAGAATCTAAGCTGGAGACCAGTCTGAACAACTGAGTAAGACCTTGTCTCAAAATAAAAAATAAAAATAAAGGGTTGATAATATAGCTCAGTGGTAGAATGCCCCTATATTTAATCCCCAGGACCACATATAGAAGTAAGATAGTTGAAATAAATAAAAGGTCATTTTTTACACTTGATGTACCTTTAAATCACAGATATTTCATTTTTTCATAGCATTAATTTTACTAATATTTGGGATACAATTTTGGTTAACATATTTTATAGATATAATGAATCATATGTAGTATTTTATATGTCAAAAAGTCAAGTATGTGTCTCAAAATTATGTTAACAGGTTCATGGAAGCTTCAGGGATATTCATAGCAGTTTCATTAATAATGGTCAACAACTGCAAAAATACAAATGTCCACCAATATGAATTTGATAAATACATTGTGATTTACAAAGATATAAATGCCATAAAATACTTTATATTTTTCCTATTAAAATTTGCTGTACATTAGATTTATTTTGGTAGTGTTACCTTTAAACTGTTTATGTCCACTTCTTATACCTCACAAGTCTCTATTCCTACTTCAGCCGTACTCAAGGATTTCTCTGCTCCCTAATAGTCGCATCCGCTGTAGAGTCCAAGGAAAATCCCCTGCTGCAAAAGCATCACTAACACAGGAAGTTCTTGTTCCTTCCATCCTCCTGCTACCTGAGAGTTGGTCACATTGTTCCAGAAGCCAAGCCAAACTGCACTAGCTTTATATATGCTCTCTTTTCTGCCTGCAATTTTTCCTTTCCTCTACCCTTCAACCTAATATTCGTCATGGTTTATTTTGGAAAGGATTTCCTAAGTAGAACCATCATTGCAGGAGAAATAACAGCAAGAATCAACAAATGGGATTACATCAAATTAAGAATGCTTCTGCACAACAAAGAAATTGATTACTAGAATGAAGAGACAACCTGCAGAATGGGAAAAAAATTTGCTACCTATTCCACGGACAAAGGACTAATATCTGGGATATATAAAGAACTAAAAATAAATAGACTCCTTAAAATTTTTTTTAAAAATAAAGAAATGGTCAAGTGAAATGAACAGACACTTCTCAGAGGAAGAAGTACAAATGGCCAACAAACATATGAAA